GCATGGTGGCTGGCATGAGACATAATTTGTTGTATTTATAGGGATCATTAGTCATAAATGAACTGAAGTATCTTTGATGAGTAGCTTGGTATCAGACAGATCTTGCGTGATAGCGTAAAGAGGGGAGGAGGGAAGTTCTTTCCATGCGGCTACATGGTTTATTGCAACGTTGTATCCTCAGCGAACGGCCCGGGAATGCCACCCATGGATCAGGCTCGGGAGGCAAGTCACCAACAAACAATGCACATTCAATGCCACTAAGCTGGCTAGCGGCTTAGGAAGAGAATTGCACGCTTAAATGTGAGGAGTTCTACCGACCATGTACTTGTATTTTGTAATCGTTTCAACGGAGTTGCTGTTCCTACTGTTCGCCTTATATTTCGGATGCCCAGCAAGATGACAAGCTAAATCCTGGCCTTTAGTCACTCTGCTGCTAGGTATGCATTTATCTCACTATTCAGTTGCTTTGCCATGTTATTTGAGGAGACATAGTAAATTGTGGTTCTGGATCTGTTGGTTCCTAATACACTGGACATCTATTGCTAGACTACAGTCTAGTCGGTAATGATGACCTCAAGTATTTTGAAACGGCTGACCAATGTCGATATAAAAGTCTGAGCCATGTAGCTGCCTTGTTGTTAAAGAGGGGAACTTGCAGATATTGCAGTTAAAATTGCATGTGCAGAAATCTTGTGGTTTGTGTGACAGTTTATCTTTTGTGCACAGATATTAGAAGCACTCCTCTGCCCATCCTGCATCTCCATCCCGGGTCAGACAAAATGATCCATGACTCTATGCACAGACTCCTTCAGTGGCTGGTGTTATGCTGAACCTATAGGCTGTTCCTCTGGAGTCATGAGTCAGAGCAGGAAATATCTGCGATAAGCCTCAGATTTTCAGAATCCTGAAGATATACATGGATAAGTATGCCATCATTGAAGCCCATCGTCTAGTATCTGTGTGGAGTCAAAGTCTGAAGAGTTGTATAACAAGGCACTGATGTTTGCTTTAGAGAGCACAATTAGTACATGACAGTCACTACCTCTTAAAGGCTATATTTTGGATGGAAAATGAGCAATGAACTGTCTAGTCTCCCTGAGCAAACTCATTTCCATTTTGTTATGTACAACTGACAAGCACTTATGGCTTGTAAAGACGGTGAAATACTCTCAATATGACGATGGAATTGCTTCACCTCTGAGTAGGCTGCCAGGTTATCCTTCCTGAAGGTGATGCATTTCTCCAGGTTCAATGTCTACTGCCCTCAGTAGACATTGAACTGTCCAGGTTGAAGGAAGCCAATATTTAGAGTTTCTAGTGTAGTTGTGCAAGCTGATATAAAATACCTGTAGGTGTTTAATGTACTCAGATAATGCTGTAACTCTTTATGGTCACCAGCCTGCATCTTGCATAATTCAGACCTCTCATCATATGAGTGAGGTCAGAGTATAATATAGGTCTTTATCATTCAAGACTGAGGGCATTGCACCGACATCTACATCTGTCTAAACCAGGAAGGGTGCCCCTGTAGTGTGGTCGTACGTGAAATAAAGATGTTATTGGGCAAACAGGTATTGTTAGATGCCATCTATACACTACCCTGCAATTTCCCG